TTGCTAATCCAAATGTTCAGTAGAATGGGTGTTATTAAATGCAATTTGGGCTTAACATATTTTCAACTTACAATGGGTTTACCAAGAGATAATACCCCTGTAAGTCAAGAAGCACTTTATAAAGTACCTGTTACATAAAAATAAACATCAAGTCCTTAAAATGTAGGAAACAGGTGAAATAATAGAAGAAAAATGAATCAAGGATAACAAGACGTGATCTGAATTCAAGCTCTAGGATAGGCTGCATTATGTCTTTGAAAAGCACTCAGCTTCTGTAAGAGGATGAATCATATGTATAATCCAAATAATACTAGTCCTATCAGTTAATGGAGGTATACCAAGATACAATAATATATGTCAAATGCCTTTTTCTTTTATAAAATAGTTATTATTTACAAGTAATAACATCTTCCTTGTCTGAGAAAATAATAAAACTAAGCAGTCAAGACGTCAGGCTGTGTACTTAATTTAATCCTCATTCAAGAGTGTACTTACTCTAAGGTTAGAAATAATCCTAACAAGAATGCTTAACTGGTTTTTCATCTATAGTAAATAAAAAGCTAGAAGTCAAGGGCATAAGAAATAAATTTAACAAACAAAAAGCACCCAACCTAAACTCAATGACATAGGACATTCATTATATAAATACAAAGACTAGGACTACCCTTTGGAATTTTTTCTTCTTTTTTAATTTTTATTGCATTATAGTTACACATAATATTGAGGTTCATTTTGACATATTCATAAATGCATATGATATAGTTTTCTCCATGTTAATTACCAAGATGACCTTCTTCCATTCTTCCTCCCTCCCCCTGATCACCACTTCTACTCTACTGGTCTTCCTTCTATTTCATTATTTTTTAATCAATGCATTACAATTATCTATAAAACTGAATTCACTGTAATACATCATACCTGCTCCTAGTATAATTTGGTCAACTTCATTACCCAGTTTTTCTCCTTCCCCCCGGCCCCTCCTGCCTCCCCTTTGGTCCACCCTATTTTTGAGAAATACTGTCCAATATGGGTCAATAATTTACATTCTTAATGGTTATACTAAGTCACAAAAAAGTGAGATTATGTTCAATATTCTCCACCTATAATGGTAGAAAATTAGATAATATACATCAGAAGGATTTATAATTAAAATGGTTAAAATGTAAAAGCTTTGGTGTTTGAAAGACTTTCAAGTTATCTGACTGAAAAATTCATATGTGAAATAACCTATTTATTCTCCACTAAAGCCAGATTAAAAATACTGTTAAACATTCTTGTGCAGGGTCTTATAAATACTGGGTGCTCAATTAACGTGAGTGATTTTCTTGAAGATGAAAGTCCAACGAATAAAAAGATGAAATATGAACAAAGCTCATAAAACTAACTAGTTTCTGAATATTCTCAACTGTGTGCTCCTTTCTCACCAATATTCTATTAACCTTATTATCCTACAAAAGACTTACTCAGTTTGCTCTCATGATTCATTTTCAATAAAACTACCACAACAGAATTATATGAATTCATTCAGTGTTTGGATGCCTCCTATATGTCAGGCACTGTTCTAGACACTTGGAAATACTGCAGTGAATACACCTGAAACAGATTCTGCTCTCAAGAAGATGATATTCTACTATGAGGAAACAAACAAGCAACAATGAGAGGTTCAGAAAATAACAAGGGCTCAAATGAGAGGACATGAGTTGACAACTAAATGACAACAGAGATAAATGTAACTCAGGCTTTCCCATTAATTAATAATATACTTGACCTTATTTACAAAACCACAGGACGAGAAACTAACAATAAGTTAACAATATACTAAAATGGTAAGATAACTTCTTACAAATATAGGAAAATAAAGCTTAAAAGGTGATAATTTTTTTATTCATGACAGACTTTTTTACTTGCAAAATAAAAAGTGTTAACAAACAATAAAATCTGTTACTGGGTACCACATGATAAATGAGAGAATGAACAATCGCAACAAAAGAACTCCAACAATCTCTTTGTGCTTGACAGCAGGACTATTCAATCTGTTTTCCAGAAATATTCCATCATCAAACCTATCATTTTAAAAGGTAACAATTTTTAATGGCAATGGGTTTTTAGCACTGAAAAGATGGAGGATACAAATGTCTTACACCAAAGAGTTATTATCATTCAACTGAAAAAGTAACTGACATGTCTGATCACATACAAAAATGAATACATGCTGCTATCAATTATAAAAAGTTCAATGAAAGGAAGTCAATATGGACCAGACCAAGTGTTTCTCAAACAATATTACACATATAACCTGATTCAGGTCGAGAGAGGAGGTTGAGAATTTATGATATTTTTTGTCTGCATTTCTAACAACCTCTCAGGTCAGGCCAATGCTGTTCTGCATCTTACTGGTGCATGGACCACACTTAGGAGTAGAGAGGAACTAATGAACTGAAAAAGGGTAAGATTCAAATTGTTCTGAGAAAGTAAGTGGGTTTTACATGGAAAGTTCAACAGGAAGGAGCTTGATCTTGTCTACAAAGAGAGCACTTAACTAGAATAAAAATCCACTCTTCTATTCCACAACACTATACCAAACACGAGACCCTTTCAGGAGACAATAAGAGACACAACAAGTCTACTGGAATGAAAAACTGTGATACTATTCTAATTTATTATAGTAGAAAGGACAGAAGTCTAGCCACCAAAGGTAAAAGAGGTGTAGAACACTGGGTCTCCTCATATACTACTGGGGACAAATGTGAAGTGATACAACTGCTTAGGAAAATAATATGACACTACCAAGTAAAGTAAAGCTAACAAGAAACATCCTAAAACTTAACAATCATGATATGAAATAGATATATCTCAAGACTCAAAACATGAGAAACTATACAACTCAATTTATACTTTATTCATTTATTTATATTAATAGTCAAAACTTAATTTGTTTAGAAATAATCTGGTGAAGTTGTAAAGAAATCAAAGAAAGCTCACAATGGTGATTTACATAAAGTGAAGAGAAAGGAGAGGAAGAGATGAAAAGGGGAAGAAAGGGGATTCAAAGATACTCTCGATGTTATATTTTCCAAGTTGAAAATTAGTTAGCAATGTTTATTTGTAAGTATTTAAATTATATAATATAAACATTATCTTGCCTAACTGATATTTTTATGTCATTGACAGCTCTTTTGCTAATGTTATCATTGATCTTTTTTTAATTAATTAATTCAGGGAACTAGTGATAGCAGATTCTACTAACAGTGAAATGAAAAGAATAAAACATTACAAATACAGACGGCTCTTTGACTTCAATAGAAGTGCTTAGCACTTAGAAGAATGTTCTAAAATATTTGTTGAATAAATTACCTCCAATAAATAGATTCATGCCTCATACTTGTTGCCTTTTTCAACTCAGGAAACTAAATAATTCAAAGGATTATTTTGAAGCATAAGCAAATTTATTAAGAAATAAGTTCCTAAGAAATGACTTAAACATTTCCCTAGTGAATAAGTGGTATTTACTTTTGCAGGTATAATTCAAGTCCACTCAAAAATTTGCAGTCTCTAAAGATATGTCATTTAGGGGCTGGGGTTGTAGCTCAGTGGCAGAGCACTTGCCTAGCATGTGAAGGCGCTGGGTTCGATTCTCAGCACCGCATATAAATAAATGAATAAAATAAAGGTTCATCAACATCTAAAAAAAATTTTTTTAAATGTCATTTATTCCAGAACATGCATCTCTCCTCCAATAAGCAGTGAAAGCCCAAAATACCAGTAAGTAGAAGATATATTATTGTTCAAAATATTATGGAAATGAAGGAACATTCCAAAGTAACCCTTCTGCCTGCATCTTTCAAACTCTGCCCTCCAAAGACACTGAACTCAATGATAACCACAACTAACTAGTTTAAGTGATTAGTGAAGATCACTGTTTTTCACTTAATCCAAACAAGAACCCTGTCATAGATAGTTCTCATCCCCACTTGACAAATGAAGAAAGTGAGGCTTAGAAAAGTTAACCTTGCCAAGGTCCCAGAGCTAGTGGATGACAGAGATGAGAAGACTGAATGAACTCTCAAACCAGGCCACCTTTTTTAAACCAGTTTACTTATGTCAGTTCAAAATTTCAGCTGTATGCTGGATCAAAATTATCAGTAATTTCCTCAAACATAGCCCCTGAAATTACAACTTGCACATGAATTTAAAAACCTTTCCTTACTATAAATGTCTAAGGTCTTCACTAATAGAAAATAACAAACCTTTAAAAACATGAAAGTTACCTAATACGGAGGGATCCAAGAGAGGAAGTTTCTTTTTAAGAAAATCAGGAAGAATGTTTTTAAAGCTAAAAAGTCCTACAAATGCACTTTTGTTGTAACAATAGAAATAAAATTTCGTGATTCTAGATCTGTCCAATCCCTTAACCAAGATTTCCATAAATGTCCTAGTTCATAAATCCTAACGACTAAATACATTTTAGGCTATTCTGAGGCATTTTATATAGTTCAGAATTAACACCACAAAAGACTTCATTATGATTATTCGGTTTCAAGTAAAGCGCTGAACTACACTAGAGTGACTACAAGGTAAATCTCTTGAGAAGCTACAGGTGTCAGAAGCCCAGGCAAGGAAACAATGTTGTTTCCCTCACTCTCCCCTTTTCAAAGCCCTAAACTAGGGTCTTAAATCCTTCTCCACACCTTCCGTCAACTGCTGGCACCCAGAAGCCCTTTTTCCAAATTTTCTCTCCCAGACATCTCAAAACAAGACCAAGTATGTGTCACACACATACACCCTCACGCTTCTTATCTGTCCCCAACTGCCCCATCAGAAGCCAGAGATGGCTGTACTATCTCCCGAACAAAAAGTAGAAAGGAAAGAGCAGGGAACTAGGGGAAAATCTGGGACCGGCCTCACGAAACCCAAAGGGAAGGCAGCGAGGACAGGGCGAGCGGGGTCAGGCTGGGAACTGCGCTCCGCACGTGGGCCTGTGGTGACAGAAGTCCACTCACCAAGCCATCTATCTGTACTTGCTTCACGGCCGAATCTCCAGGGCCGCCTTTGCCTTTGCCCTTCCCTACCACGCCGGTGGTGGAGCTGGAAGAGGTGGCGGTAGAGCCGGCGCCTTCCTTACGGGACGCCATCTTTCCAGCCAGACAGGAAGAAAGAGAAACGTGAGTTGCCGGAAACGGAAGTACAGACCTTTCGTGACGTTCTGTGCAATTTGCCTTTGAGGGGCGCAACCAGTGAGAGGCCAGGATGGAGCCACGCCTTCCCTCTCTTTGGCGTCCGGACCTCCGTTCCCGGAGGACTCTTGTGCTCATGCGCACTGTCGATCTTCCTTTCGTCTTTTGCTCAAAGAGTAAAGTAGGGCGTTTTGTGTTTGGTTTTGTTTGGTTTGTTTTGGTTTTGCGGATTGAATCCAGAGGCTCGCACTTGCAGGCTACCGCTCAACTACATCCCCAGCTCTTTTTATTTTTATTTTTTTTTATTTTGAGACTGGGTCTCCCCAAATTGTCAAGGTTGGCCTTGAACTTGTGATCCTTCAGCCTCAGCCTCGGGAGTTCTTGGAATTACAGGCCTGTGCCACCTTGCCCTGCTACACCTTTTTAAATGTTGAATAGGTCTTAATTAGGCAGAAGGCATAATAAAATTATTGTTTGCATTTCTGTAGCATCTTTTATGTAAAAATGATTACAGTCTGTTCTTTATGCTGGGAATGTGGCTCAGTGGTAAAGCAATTGCTTAGCATGCTCCAGGCCCTGGGTTCAACCCAGAAAAATATGTAAATAAGAATAAATTCCCATTCTTGACCTTCTGGGGGAAAATTATGATAGTCTTTTTTTCTGGGTAATTATAATAATCTTTTTTCCTCTTTTTTAAGTTTTCTAAATTATTTTTGAAGGTCAAAGCAAAAAAAATATAAAACTGCCTAGTATAGTTTTAAGTGCATATGAAAGAAATATTTAAGGTAGTCATACTAGGACAGCTAAGGAACATATATGTAAGTAAAATTTTCACAGTTGAATCAAACTAGTAAAATGACATGACACCAAACTGTAACAGTTATACTACCAAGAGAAGTCACTGAAAAGCTTTACAAAGAGATACACTAAAAATACCATGGATAGATTAATATAAACTATTAAAACATCTTAATTCCCAGGAATGCAAGAAAAAAATACAAAAACAAAAGGAATAGAAAAATGAATAAAATGGCAGACCTAAGCCCAAACATATCAAATTACATTAATATAAATGTTCCTAATGTACCAATTAAAAGACAATTGGTAGAACATGACTTAATCATAACTGTCTACATGAAGCTCACTTCAAATCTGATGCTTTAAGCACATTGAAAATAAGATGATGAGAAAATATAGCAAGCAACCAAAAGAAAGTGGATACAACAAAATTCAAACATAAGAAAATCACCAGAGGCAGAAGGAGACAATAGTGATAAAATGGTGAATCTCCAAGAACACACAGCAGTTCTGAATGTGTACACCCCAACAACAACTGAGAATTTATGTGAAGGGGAAAAAAAAAAAGCAGCACTGAAAGGATAAATAGACAAATCTGCAATAGCAGTTAGAGATGTTAACTCTCTTCTCCCAACAATTAACAGAACAACTAGGGAGAAAATCAGACTATTAGAAGCTCAACCAATACCATCTATCAAGATCTAGTTGCAGAATACTCAAAGTACACAATGTACATTCTCTTCAAGTTTCCATGGAACATATAGATCACATCCAGAACTATAACAAACTTTAACAAGTTTAAACCTCAATAAAGTGATATCTGAATTGAAATCATTCAGAGTATGTTCTTTAGCCACAACCAAGTAGATTCAAACAAGAAATCAAAGTATTAAGATAACAGGAAAATTTCCAAATACTTTAAAACTAAACAATACATTACCAATAATTCACAGATCAAAGAGGAGGCCCCAAGGGAAATTAAAATACAAACACACATCTCTTTCCCTCTCTCCGTCTCTCCCTCCCCGCCACACACACACACACACACACACACACACACTAAACTAGATGAATATGGAAATATAAAATATCAAAATTTGTGGGACATAATCACAATAGTATTGAGCGGCAAATAGCTAAATGTGTATGCAGCAAGCAACCATTAATCAGAAGAAAACAGAAGTGGCCATATTCATATTAGATATAGCAAAATTAAGACAAAAGAAAATCAAGAAATGTTTCAAGTCAATAATCTAAGTTCCCTTAGAATCCAAGGGGAGAAAGAGCAGAATAAATCTAAGATTTGCAGAAGAAAGGAAATAAGAAATTAAATCAGGATACTGAATATTCTGAATATATTTGATCACCTAACATGGTTGTTCACAACCATTAAATTACATTTCTGCTTCCCTCAGAAAGAGTTTAATACTGTAGGCATTAATTTCATTGTGGATATTCATTTCCTGGATAAAATAAATTCACAATATGTTCTTCATAATATGTCACAGGATTTAAAGATTTTAGTGTCGTTCTATATTGTTGGAAATGTTTCAAATTTAGTTAAAAGCAAAAAAATGAAAAGATGCTGAGATCCTTCCAAAAAGAGCCACACACCCTGCCCATATGTGATCACCACATGGAAAAAGGAAGGAGAGGATGGCCTGCCATACCTGTGTGGGAAAAAAGTGAACAAATAAACTGTCTACCCAGTTTTGTTTTGTGGTATCACTCTGCCCACTAAGAAAACATGGCCCAGTGAATGCCAGGCTGTGACCTGTCTCCTCCTTAGAACCAGCCAATGTTACAGCTGCTGCCCTCATTAAGCAATGTCTTAAACCCCATTCAAGCCAATGAAATGAAATCAATCAAGACACCAAATTTAAGCCAAACAATTTTTTAAATGTCACTTTATTCCTATTCAGTATTCAGATGAGTCAGAGGATTTTTGTTTTTATTTCAATACACTTCTACTCAGGTGTTACCTGCTTTCAGACCTCTGTGGAAGGCGTGGTTTCTTTGACCATCTGGCAGTCTTGGGCCTGAACTGAGCAATGTGTTCAGCAATGGAGCAAAAAGACATGGAGCATTTCTGCTCAGGGCTCCCAGCCAACCTAGCATTAGACCAACTTAGCATCTGTTCCTGCCTTGGTGTGAAGGAACTTGATAGAAAGTAATATGACCTGTCTATTTTCTATACTTCCTGGAGGAAATTGCATTCATGGCATAGAATGAGGTGGAGGATACTCTCCAGTACATATCAGAAACAAAAGGAAGCAACTGAGAAACTGATGTGACTCCATTTTTGAGAAACCAGCCTCTACCTCAGAGCAACGCCTGTCCAAGGAAGGGGGTGTGACCCTTGTCCTTGGAAAAACCCACAGAGCACTCCTAGGCACATACCCACCCTGCTGAGTTGTTTGTCTGTAAATAACAGGAGAGGTCTGCAGTGCCAGGTTTCCCTGACTCAGGCTAGGTAAGGACCTATAGCAACTCCCTAGCAACCACCAGTCAGCTTGAGACAAAGAAAATACCTGGGATGCCAGATGACCCCCCACTAGCTTATGGTGGTTGATAACTGGTGGGAAACCACGTAGTTTAGCAAGTACACCCTCGTGGCCTAAACCAATCAGTTAAAAGGAATCCCCCTCTTGTATTAACCAATCACCCCTACCCAACTTGTTCCCACCAGTGAATGTGCTAATCAATGTTAAGAGTTGTGGTTTGATTTTCCCGTGGTATGGAATGATCTGCTGTGTGATGTTGTGATGCATAGAGTATTCCCCCCAAACCTATAAAATCTCACTGGACAAAGGACCGCTGCATCGGAACGGTTATGAGTCCAGGCTCAAGCTTGCAATAAAGACTTGTGTGATTGCATTGGATTCAGCTCCTGGAGATCTATTGGGGTCCCAGGAATCTGGCATTACACAACAAAACACCGTTATCAAATGAATACATTGTAACAAAACATTGTATAATGGGCAGAGAGAGAGATTGTATAATGGCTCTATATTTTAATCTCTTCTGTGCAGATTATCTTCTGGTAAAGAAGCACAAAGATATTTTCTTCCTTCTTCTTTCTCCTTCTCATTCTTTTTCTTCTTCTCCTTCCCCTCTTCCTTTTCCTCCTCTGCCTTCCCCTCTTCTCCTCCTCCCCCTTATTCTTCTATGTTTCTTTGAGTAAAAAATCAGACTAACAGTTTATTATCTTCATCTGTTCTCTTTAAAAGGATATATATTTTATGTGATTGTTATGGCATCTCCCAAAACATAAAATTAGCCACTTCTTTTTTAGGGAATCAAGAGTAACCAGGTATAGGAAGAATTAGGAAGTCTACCTTCCAACAGTACTCATGTGAAAGGATCAAAAACTCTCAGTCTATTAAAATGGGTGAAAAAAATAACTTCCCATCTTTTGCCATTATAATTGATGGACTCAGTCTAGATATGAAAATTAATCATATGAGCTGAGTGCAGTGGCACATGCTTGTAATCCCAGCAACTCGGGAGACTGAGTCAGGAGTATTGCAAGTTTGAGGCAATTTAGCATGGCCCTAAGCAACTTTAGCGAGACCCTGTCTCAAAATAAAAAATAAAAAGGACTGGGGATGTGGCTCAGAGGTTAGCATCACTGGGTTCAATCCCAGTGCCAAAAAGAAGAAAGAGAAGGAGGAGCAAAAAAGAAAGAAAATTAAACATGGTAGCTTTCATTCACTCTTACATAATAACCTGAGATAAATTAAGAAAATAAACTTAAAAAGAGGAAGGGTTAGGCCAAGTGTGGTGGCAACACCTATAATCCCAACTACTCAGGAGGCTGACACAGTTGGATCACAAATTCTGCACAACTCAATGAGATCCTGTCTCGGTAGAGCACTCATGAGGCCCTTGGTTCCATCCCCAATATCTATCTATCTATCCCTCTCTCTTTCTGTCTCTCTCTCTCTCTCTCTCTCTCTCACACACACACACACACACAAAAGGGTCTTTTTTGGCCCACAGTGTTAGAGGTTTTAGTCCATGCTTATTACACCCTGTTGCTTTGAGCCATGATAGGAACATGAGGCACAGGAGCCTGCTCAACTCATGATGACAAAGAATGAAGGGAGAGGAGAGGAGGGGGAAGAAAGGCTGGGGTCCCAGTCACCCCTTCAAGAGCACCCCTCCTGCTGACCTAACTTCATTCACTAGGACCCAA